TCTAAAGATCCGGCGGTCGGCGTAGCGATTCCATTGCTACTATAAGGAAAACGGCCTCCGGAAGCTGCTGTAAAAATCTGGGCGCGATCCGACTGCCGGATCGCAGCTTATGGCACTTTTGGGCCGCCGTTCTGGCCCGGCACGAACCGGAACGCTGCGGGTCCCGGTCGCGCTTCCCCGCGCCGCCTCCCCTCGTGCGGCGGAGCTTGAGCAGCGTGGCAGGCTCCCGTGGCTCTCCCCGCGGGCGCCCTCGAAGCGCTTATAGCAATTGCGCGTGCATCGACTCACGGGTGCGATCATACCAGCACTAATGCACCGGATCCCATCAGAACTCCGCAGTTAAACGTGCTTGGGCGAGAGTAGTACTAGGATGGGTGACCTCCTGGGAAGTCCTCGTGTTGCACCCCTCCTTTTTGCCCGTTTCCCGAGCGGCCCCCTGCTTCCCCGCGCCGCACGCCTCCTGCTTGCCGCATCCTCTTCTTTCATCCTTCTCCCGCCCCTTTTCCTTTCCCGGGAGGCTTCCCCGCCTGCCGAGGATCGGGGAACGCGGTTTCCCGCGGGAGGAGCGAGGGAAGGCGCAGGGCCCCGGGGCGAGGACCGCACGATCTAAAGATCCGGCGGTCGGCGTAGCGATTCCATTGCTACTATAAGGAAAACGGCCTCCGGAAGCTGCTGTAAAAATCTGGGCGCGATCCGACGGCCGGATCGCAGCTTATGGCACTTTTGGGCCGCCGTTCTGGCCCGGCACGAACCGGAACGCTGCGGGGCCCGGTCGCGCTTCCCCGCGCCGCCTCCCCTCGTGCGGCGGAGCTTGAGCAGCGTGGCAGGCTCCCGTGGCTCTCCCCGCGGGCGCCCTCGAAGCGCTTATAGCAATTGCGCGTGCATCGACTCACGGGTGCGATCATACCAGCACTAATGCACCGGATCCCATCAGAACTCCGCAGTTAAACGTGCTTGGGCGAGAGTAGTACTAGGATGGGTGACCTCCTGGGAAGTCCTCGTGTTGCACCCCTCCTTTTTGCCCGTTTCCCGAGCGGCCCCCTGCTTGCCGCATCCTCTTCTTTCATCCTTCTCCCGCCCCCTTTTCCTTTCCCGGGAGGCTTCCCCGCCTGCCGAGGATCGGGGAACGCGGTTTCCCGCGGGAGGAGCGAGGGAAGGCGCAGGGCCCCGGGGCGAGGACCGCACGATCTAAAGATCCGGCGGTCGGCGTAGCGATTCCATGGCTACTATAAGGAAAACGGCCTCCGGAAGCTGCTGTAAAAATCTGGGCGCGATCCGACGGCCGGATCGCAGCTTATGGCACTTTTGGGCCGCCGTTCTGGCCCGGCACGAACCGGAACGCTGCGGGGCCCGGTCGCGCTTCCCCGCGCCGCCTCCCCTCGTGCGGCGGAGCTTGAGCAGCGTGGCAGGCTCCCGTGGCTCTCCCCGCGGGCGCCCTCGAAGCGCTTATAGCAATTGCGCGTGCATCGACTCACGGGTGCGATCATACCAGCACTAATGCACCGGATCCCATCAGAACTCCGCAGTTAAACGTGCTTGGGCGAGAGTAGTACTAGGATGGGTGACCTCCTGGGAAGTCCTCGTGTTGCACCCCTCCTTTTTGCCCGTTTCCCGAGCGGCCCCCTGCTTCCCCGCGCCGCACGCCTCCTGCTTGCCGCATCCTCTTCTTTCATCCTTCTCCCGCCCCCTTTTCCTTTCCCGGGAGGCTTCCCCGCCTGCCGAGGATCGGGGAACGCGGTTTCCCGCGGGAGGAGCGAGGGAAGGCGCAGGGCCCCGGGGCGAGGACCGCACGATCTAAAGATCCGGCGGTCGGCGTAGCGATTCCATTGCTACTATAAGGAAAACGGCCTCCGGAAGCTGCTGTAAAAATCTGGGCGCGATCCGACGGCCGGATCGCAGCTTATGGCACTTTTGGGCCGCCGTTCTGGCCCGGCACGAACCGGAACGCTGCGGGGCCCGGTCGCGCTTCCCCGCGCCGCCTCCCCTCGTGCGGCGGAGCTTGAGCAGCGTGGCAGGCTCCCGTGGCTCTCCCCGCGGGCGCCCTCGAAGCGCTTATAGCAATTGCGCGTGCATCGACTCACGGGTGCGATCATACCAGCACTAATGCACCGGATCCCATCAGAACTCCGCAGTTAAACGTGCTTGGGCGAGAGTAGTACTAGGATGGGTGACCTCCTGGGAAGTCCTCGTGTTGCACCCCTCCTTTTTGCCCGTTTCCCGAGCGGCCCCCTGCTTGCCGCATCCTCTTCTTTCATCCTTCTCCCGCCCCTTTTCCTTTCCCGGGAGGCTTCCCCGCCTGCCGAGGATCGGGGAACGCGGTTTCCCGCGGGAGGAGCGAGGGAAGGCGCAGGGCCCCGGGGCGAGGACCGCACGATCTAAAGATCCGGCGGTCGGCGTAGCGATTCCATCGCTACTATAAGGAAAACGGCCTCCGGAAGCTGCTGTAAAAATCTGGGCGCGATCCGACGGCCGGATCGCAGCTTATGGCACTTTTGGGCCGCCGTTCTGGCCCGGCACGAACCGGAACGCTGCGGGGCCCGGTCGCGCTTCCCCGCGCCGCCTCCCCTCGTGCGGCGGAGCTTGAGCAGCGTGGCAGGCTCCCGTGGCTCTCCCCGCGGGCGCCCTCGAAGCGCTTATAGCAATTGCGCGTGCATCGACTCACGGGTGCGATCATACCAGCACTAATGCACCGGATCCCATCAGAACTCCGCAGTTAAACGTGCTTGGGCGAGAGTAGTACTAGGATGGGTGACCTCCTGGGAAGTCCTCGTGTTGCACCCCTCCTTTTTGCCCGTTTCCCGAGCGGCCCCCTGCTTGCCGCATCCTCTTCTTTCATCCTTCTCCCGCCCCTTTTCCTTTCCCGGGAGGCTTCCCCGCCTGCCGAGGATCGGGGAACGCGGTTTCCCGCGGGAGGAGCGAGGGAAGGCGCAGGGCCCCGGGGCGAGGACCGCACGATCTAAAGATCCGGCGGTCGGCGTAGCGATTCCATTGCTACTATAAGGAAAACGGCCTCCGGAAGCTGCTGTAAAAATCTGGGCGCGATCCGACGGCCGGATCGCAGCTTATGGCACTTTTGGGCCGCCGTTCTGGCCCGGCACGAACCGGAACGCTGCGGGGCCCGGTCGCGCTTCCCCGCGCCGCCTCCCCTCGTGCGGCGGAGCTTGAGCAGCGTGGCAGGCTCCCGTGGCTCTCCCCGCGGGCGCCCTCGAAGCGCTTATAGCAATTGCGCGTGCATCGACTCACGGGTGCGATCATACCAGCACTAATGCACCGGATCCCATCAGAACTCCGCAGTTAAACGTGCTTGGGCGAGAGTAGTACTAGGATGGGTGACCTCCTGGGAAGTCCTCGTGTTGCACCCCTCCTTTTTGCCCGTTTCCCGAGCGGCCCCCTGCTTGCCGCATCCTCTTCTTTCATCCTTCTCCCGCCCCTTTTCCTTTCCCGGGAGGCTTCCCCGCCTGCCGAGGATCGGGGAACGCGGTTTCCCGCGGGAGGAGCGAGGGAAGGCGCAGGGCCCCGGGGCGAGGACCGCACGATCTAAAGATCCGGCGGTCGGCGTAGCGATTCCATTGCTACTATAAGGAAAACGGCCTCCGGAAGCTGCTGTAAAAATCTGGGCGCGATCCGACGGCCGGATCGCAGCTTATGGCACTTTTGGGCCGCCGTTCTGGCCCGGCACGAACCGGAACGCTGCGGGGCCCGGTCGCGCTTCCCCGCGCCGCCTCCCCTCGTGCGGCGGAGCTTGAGCAGCGTGGCAGGCTCCCGTGGCTCTCCCCGCGGGCGCCCTCGAAGCGCTTATAGCAATTGCGCGTGCATCGACTCACGGGTGCGATCATACCAGCACTAATGCACCGGATCCCATCAGAACTCCGCAGTTAAACGTGCTTGGGCGAGAGTAGTACTAGCAGGGCCCCGGGGCGAGGACCGCACGATCTAAAGATCCGGCGGTCGGCGTAGCGATTCCATCGCTACTATAAGGAAAACGGCCTCCGGAAGCTGCTGTAAAAATCTGGGCGCGATCCGACGGCCGGATCGCAGCTTATGGCACTTTTGGGCCGCCGTTCTGGCCCGGCACGAACCGGAACGCTGCGGGGCCCGGTCGCGCTTCCCCGCGCCGCCTCCCCTCGTGCGGCGGAGCTTGAGCAGCGTGGCAGGCTCCCGTGGCTCTCCCCGCGGGCGCCCTCGAAGCGCTTATAGCAATTGCGCGTGCATCGACTCACGGGTGCGATCATACCAGCACTAATGCACCGGATCCCATCAGAACTCCGCAGTTAAACGTGCTTGGGCGAGAGTAGTACTAGGATGGGTGACCTCCTGGGAAGTCCTCGTGTTGCACCCCTCCTTTTTGCCCGTTTCCCGAGCGGCCCCCTGCTTGCCGCATCCTCTTCTTTCATCCTTCTCCCGCCCCTTTTCCTTTCCCGGGAGGCTTCCCCGCCTGCCGAGGATCGGGGAACGCGGTTTCCCGCGGGAGGAGCGAGGGAAGGCGCAGGGCCCCGGGGCGAGGACCGCACGATCTAAAGATCCGGCGGTCGGCGTAGCGATTCCATTGCTACTATAAGGAAAACGGCCTCCGGAAGCTGCTGTAAAAATCTGGGCGCGATCCGACGGCCGGATCGCAGCTTATGGCACTTTTGGGCCGCCGTTCTGGCCCGGCACGAACCGGAACGCTGCGGGGCCCGGTCGCGCTTCCCCGCGCCGCCTCCCCTCGTGCGGCGGAGCTTGAGCAGCGTGGCAGGCTCCCGTGGCTCTCCCCGCGGGCGCCCTCGAAGCGCTTATAGCAATTGAGCGTGCATCGACTCACGGGTGCGATCATACCAGCACTAATGCACCGGATCCCATCAGAACTCCGCAGTTAAACGTGCTTGGGCGAGAGTAGTACTAGCAGGGTCCCGGGGCCAGGACCGCACGATCTAAAGATCCGGCGGTCGGCGTAGCGATTCCATTGCTACTATAAGGAAAACGGCCTCCGGAAGCTGCTGTAAAAATCTGGGCGCGATCCGACGGCCGGATCGCAGCACTAATGCACCGGATCCCATCAGAACTCCGCAGTTAAACGTGCTTGGGCGAGAGTAGTACTAGCAGGGTCCCGGGGCAAGGACCGCACGATCTAAAGATCCGGCGGTCGGCGTAGCGATTCCATTGCTACTATAAGGAAAACGGCCTCCGGAAGCTGCTGTAAAAATCTGGGCGCGATCCGACGGCCGGATCGCAGCTTATGGCACTTTTAGGCCGCCGTTCTGGCCCGGCACGAACCGGAACGCTGCGGGCCCGGTCGCGCTTCCCCGCGCCGCCTCCCCTCGTGCGGCGGAGCTTGAGCAGCGTGGCAGGCTCCCGTGGCTCTCCCCGCGGGCGCCCTCGAAGCGCTTATAGCAATTGCGCGTGCATCGACTCACGGGTGCGATCATACCAGCACTAATGCACCGGATCCCATCAGAACTCCGCAGTTAAACGTGCTTGGGCGAGAGTAGTACTAGGATGGGTGACCTCCTGGGAAGTCCTCGTGTTGCACCCCTCCTTTTTGCCCGTTTCCCGAGCGGCCCCCTGCTTGCCGCATCCTCTTCTTTCATCCTTCTCCCGCCCCTTTTCCTTTCCCGGGAGGCTTCCCCGCCTGCCGAGGATCGGGGAACGCGGTTTCCCGCGGGAGGAGCGAGGGAAGGCGCAGGGCCCCGGGGCGAGGACCGCACGATCTAAAGATCCGGCGGTCGGCGTAGCGATTCCATTGCTACTATAAGGAAAACGGCCTCCGGAAGCTGCTGTAAAAATCTGGGCGCGATCCGACGGCCGGATCGCAGCTTATGGCACTTTTGGGCCGCCGTTCTGGCCCGGCACGAACCGGAACGCTGCGGGGCCCGGTCGCGCTTCCCCGCGCCGCCTCCCCTCGTGCGGCGGAGCTTGAGCAGCGTGGCAGGCTCCCGTGGCTCTCCCCGCGGGCGCCCTCGAAGCGCTTATAGCAATTGCGCGTGCATCGACTCACGGGTGCGATCATACCAGCACTAATGCACCGGATCCCATCAGAACTCCGCAGTTAAACGTGCTTGGGCGAGAGTAGTACTAGGATGGGTGACCTCCTGGGAAGTCCTCGTGTTGCACCCCTCCTTTTTGCCCGTTTCCCGAGCGGCCCCCTGCTTGCCGCATCCTCTTCTTTCATCCTTCTCCCGCCCCCTTTTCCTTTCCCGGGAGGCTTCCCCGCCTGCCGAGGATCGGGGAACGCGGTTTCCCGCGGGAGGAGCGAGGGAAGGCGCAGGGCCCCGGGGCGAGGACCGCACGATCTAAAGATCCGGCGGTCGGCGTAGCGATTCCATGGCTACTATAAGGAAAACGGCCTCCGGAAGCTGCTGTAAAAATCTGGGCGCGATCCGACGGCCGGATCGCAGCTTATGGCACTTTTGGGCCGCCGTTCTGGCCCGGCACGAACCGGAACGCTGCGGGGCCCGGTCGCGCTTCCCCGCGCCGCCTCCCCTCGTGCGGCGGAGCTTGAGCAGCGTGGCAGGCTCCCGTGGCTCTCCCCGCGGGCGCCCTCGAAGCGCTTATAGCAATTGCGCGTGCATCGACTCACGGGTGCGATCATACCAGCACTAATGCACCGGATCCCATCAGAACTCCGCAGTTAAACGTGCTTGGGCGAGAGTAGTACTAGGATGGGTGACCTCCTGGGAAGTCCTCGTGTTGCACCCCTCCTTTTTGCCCGTTTCCCGAGCGGCCCCCTGCTTCCCCGCGCCGCACGCCTCCTGCTTGCCGCATCCTCTTCTTTCATCCTTCTCCCGCCCCTTTTCCTTTCCCGGGAGGCTTCCCCGCCTGCCGAGGATCGGGGAACGCGGTTTCCCGCGGGAGGAGCGAGGGAAGGCGCAGGGCCCCGGGGCGAGGACCGCACGATCTAAAGATCCGGCGGTCGGCGTAGCGATTCCATGCTACTATAAGGAAAACGGCCTCCGGAAGCTGCTGTAAAAATCTGGGCGCGATCCGACGGCCGGATCGCAGCTTATGGCACTTTTGGGCCGCCGTTCTGGCCCGGCACGAACCGGAACGCTGCGGGGCCCGGTCGCGCTTCCCCGCGCCGCCTCCCCTCGTGCGGCGGAGCTTGAGCAGCGTGGCAGGCTCCCGTGGCTCTCCCCGCGGGCGCCCTCGAAGCGCTTATAGCAATTGCGCGTGCATCGACTCACGGGTGCGATCATACCAGCACTAATGCACCGGATCCCATCAGAACTCCGCAGTTAAACGTGCTTGGGCGAGAGTAGTACTAGGATGGGTGACCTCCTGGGAAGTCCTCGTGTTGCACCCCTCCTTTTTGCCCGTTTCCCGAGCGGCCCCCTGCTTGCCGCATCCTCTTCTTTCATCCTTCTCCCGCCCCTTTTCCTTTCCCGGGAGGCTTCCCCGCCTGCCGAGGATCGGGGAACGCGGTTTCCCGCGGGAGGAGCGAGGGAAGGCGCAGGGCCCCGGGGCGAGGACCGCACGATCTAAAGATCCGGCGGTCGGCGTAGCGATTCCATGGCTACTATAAGGAAAACGGCCTCCGGAAGCTGCTGTAAAAATCTGGGCGCGATCCGACGGCCGGATCGCAGCTTATGGCACTTTTGGGCCGCCGTTCTGGCCCGGCACGAACCGGAACGCTGCGGGGCCCGGTCGCGCTTCCCCGCGCCGCCTCCCCTCGTGCGGCGGAGCTTGAGCAGCGTGGCAGGCTCCCGTGGCTCTCCCCGCGGGCGCCCTCGAAGCGCTTATAGCAATTGCGCGTGCATCGACTCACGGGTGCGATCATACCAGCACTAATGCACCGGATCCCATCAGAACTCCGCAGTTAAACGTGCTTGGGCGAGAGTAGTACTAGGATGGGTGACCTCCTGGGAAGTCCTCGTGTTGCACCCCTCCTTTTTGCCCGTTTCCCGAGCGGCCCCCTGCTTGCCGCATCCTCTTCTTTCATCCTTCTCCCGCCCCTTTTCCTTTCCCGGGAGGCTTCCCCGCCTGCCGAGGATCGGGGAACGCGGTTTCCCGCGGGAGGAGCGAGGGAAGGCGCAGGGCCCCGGGGCGAGGACCGCACGATCTAAAGATCCGGCGGTCGGCGTAGCGATTCCATTGCTACTATAAGGAAAACGGCCTCCGGAAGCTGCTGTAAAAATCTGGGCGCGATCCGACGGCCGGATCGCAGCTTATGGCACTTTTGGGCCGCCGTTCTGGCCCGGCACGAACCGGAACGCTGCGGGGCCCGGTCGCGCTTCCCCGCGCCGCCTCCCCTCGTGCGGCGGAGCTTGAGCAGCGTGGCAGGCTCCCGTGGCTCTCCCCGCGGGCGCCCTCGAAGCGCTTATAGCAATTGCGCGTGCATCGACTCACGGGTGCGATCATACCAGCACTAATGCACCGGATCCCATCAGAACTCCGCAGTTAAACGTGCTTGGGCGAGAGTAGTACTAGGATGGGTGACCTCCTGGGAAGTCCTCGTGTTGCACCCCTCCTTTTTGCCCGTTTCCCGAGCGGCCCCCTGCTTGCCGCATCCTCTTCTTTCATCCTTCTCCCGCCCCTTTTCCTTTCCCGGGAGGCTTCCCCGCCTGCCGAGGATCGGGGAACGCGGTTTCCCGCGGGAGGAGCGAGGGAAGGCGCAGGGCCCCGGGGCGAGGACCGCACGATCTAAAGATCCGGCGGTCGGCGTAGCGATTCCATTGCTACTATAAGGAAAACGGCCTCCGGAAGCTGCTGTAAAAATCTGGGCGCGATCCGACGGCCGGATCGCAGCTTATGGCACTTTTGGGCCGCCGTTCTGGCCCGGCACGAACCGGAACGCTGCGGGGCCCGGTCGCGCTTCCCCGCGCCGCCTCCCCTCGTGCGGCGGAGCTTGAGCAGCGTGGCAGGCTCCCGTGGCTCTCCCCGCGGGCGCCCTCGAAGCGCTTATAGCAATTGCGCGTGCATCGACTCACGGGTGCGATCATACCAGCACTAATGCACCGGATCCCATCAGAACTCCGCAGTTAAACGTGCTTGGGCGAGAGTAGTACTAGCAGGGCCCCGGGGCGAGGACCGCACGATCTAAAGATCCGGCGGTCGGCGTAGCGATTCCATCGCTACTATAAGGAAAACGGCCTCCGGAAGCTGCTGTAAAAATCTGGGCGCGATCCGACGGCCGGATCGCAGCTTATGGCACTTTTGGGCCGCCGTTCGTGCATCGACTCACGGGTGCGATCATACCAGCACTAATGCACCGGATCCCATCAGAACTCCGCAGTTAAACGTGCTTGGGCGAGAGTAGTACTAGGATGGGTGACCTCCTGGGAAGTCCTCGTGTTGCACCCCTCCTTTTTGCCCGTTTCCCGAGCGGCCCCCTGCTTGCCGCATCCTCTTCTTTCATCCTTCTCCCGCCCCTTTTCCTTTCCCGGGAGGCTTCCCCGCCTGCCGAGGATCGGGGAACGCGGTTTCCCGCGGGAGGAGCGAGGGAAGGCGCAGGGCCCCGGGGCGAGGACCGCACGATCTAAAGATCCGGCGGTCGGCGTAGCGATTCCATTGCTACTATAAGGAAAACGGCCTCCGGAAGCTGCTGTAAAAATCTGGGCGCGATCCGACGGCCGGATCGCAGCTTATGGCACTTTTGGGCCGCCGTTCTGGCCCGGCACGAACCGGAACGCTGCGGGGCCCGGTCGCGCTTCCCCGCGCCGCCTCCCCTCGTGCGGCGGAGCTTGAGCAGCGTGGCAGGCTCCCGTGGCTCTCCCCGCGGGCGCCCTCGAAGCGCTTATAGCAATTGCGCGTGCATCGACTCACGGGTGCGATCATACCAGCACTAATGCACCGGATCCCATCAGAACTCCGCAGTTAAACGTGCTTGGGCGAGAGTAGTACTAGCAGGGCCCCGGGGCGAGGACCGCACGATCTAAAGATCCGGCGGTCGGCGTAGCGATTCCATCGCTACTATAAGGAAAACGGCCTCCGGAAGCTGCTGTAAAAATCTGGGCGCGATCCGACGGCCGGATCGCAGCTTATGGCACTTTTGGGCCGCCGTTCTGGCCCGGCACGAACCGGAACGCTGCGGGGCCCGGTCGCGCTTCCCCGCGCCGCCTCCCCTCGTGCGGCGGAGCTTGAGCAGCGTGGCAGGCTCCCGTGGCTCTCCCCGCGGGCGCCCTCGAAGCGCTTATAGCAATTGCGCGTGCATCGACTCACGGGTGCGATCATACCAGCA